GCTTTGGGAGAACCTCGGAGAGCTGAACGTCTCCGACAGCTTCAGCAACATATCAAGAGTGGATGTGATGGTGTGCACCACAGCTTTTAACCGCACTGCTCTGCTGTACTCCATGTGCATCCTCTACACTTTTATCTTCGTCATCGGACTGGCTGCCAACAGTCTGGTCCTCTGGGTGAACATCCGTGCCCAAAGAGACTCCACGCCTCGCCATGAGACGCATATGTACATTGCTCACCTAGCAGTTGCAGATTTATGCGTGTGCGTCACTCTGCCTGTGTGGGTGAGCTCCCTGGCCCAACATGGCCACTGGCCATTTGGCGAAGTGGCATGCAAGCTCACGCACCTGCTCTTCTCTGTGAACCTCTTTGGCAGCATCTTCTTCCTGGCCTGCATGAGCGTGGACCGCTACCTGACCGTGACGCAGCACAGAGAAGAGGGAGGCGCTCGCAGGAAGTTGATCCGTCGAGCTGCGTGTTTTGGGGTGTGGCTTCTGGCTTTGGTGGCGTCTTCTCCTGAAACCTACTTCCTGCGTGCTGTGAAGTCGTTGCACAGCGACACCATGGTGTGCAGGCCGGAGTATCCAGAGGAAAGCCACAGGGAGTGGATGGTGGGAGTGCAGCTCAGCTTCATCCTGCTGGGCTTTGTTCTTCCCTTTCCGGTCATTGCAGTGTTTTACGCCCTGTTGGCCAGAGCTTTCAGCCGCTCTTCTTCCTCCTCATCGTCATCATCATCGTCTTCCCATTTGGAGCAGGAGCGCCGTGTGAGCCGCAGGGTAATTCTGGCCTACATTGTGATTTTCCTGGCCTGCTGGGGTCCTTATCATGCTGCTCTGCTGGTTGACGCACTGTCACAACTGGGCCTGGTGCCACTGACTTGTGGCCTGGAGAACGTGCTCTTCGTGGCCTTGCACCTCACTCAGTGCCTGTCCCTGCTCCACTGCTGTTTCAACCCCATTCTCTACAACTTCATCAATCGAAACTACCGCTACGACCTCATGAAGGCCTTCATTTTCAAATACTCAACTCGAACGGGCTTGGCACGTCTTATTGAGACTAATAACATGTCGGAGACTGAATACTCAGCTGTAGAAAACCCGCCACTGATCTGATCTCAGTGAGTCTAGCAGCATATGAACTTGTGCTCCGCTTGATTTATCTGCTCTAAACCAATCGAGCATCCTTTTCACAAACATCTGCTTTAGACCTTGAAAGACTTGAAGACTGATCAAAAAGCACTTAAAGCAGTTTATAATAGCAGCTGATTTACAAATCATTGTAGATGAAAAACCAAAATTGAGTGTAAATTGTTTGAAATTATTTTTTTTATTATGTGTGTATGCTCTGTGAATTAGTGTGCATGTAATGAGTGATGTATATTATCAACGGAATAATATCTTTGTAGTCTACTTTTGTGTATTTATGTACATTTACACTGTTTGTCTCTTTTCTGCCGTAATGCAAACTCTTCGCACAATTTCTCATATTTTAAAACATTTCCTCATCATTTGCAGCTGAGCCGCTATCTGGCTCCATTGCTTTTGTCCTGCTGCCACATTGTGAATTACAACCTCATTTTAGTCAGCTGAAGCCTCCAGAAACAGGATTTTCTTTTTAAAATCCAAAACGTTTTCACTTTTTTCAATTTTTTTTGTAGCTGTTGCTTAAGTATTTATAGCACTCTTGTCTGCAATTTGATTATGAACCGTCATTTCTGAAGCATCAGAGGTTATGAAACATTAGCTAAAGCTTGCTAAGCAGGCAAGCTTTAGCTAAGCTTACTAGCTTAGCTAAAGTTAGCATACCATACCTTGGCCTATCAACCTAGCTTGAAGGTGTGGTATTTTTTATTTTTTTTTCCTTTTGGTTGTTACTCTCTGTCTTTGCACATAAAGCTCAACATTGACATAAAAATAGTTCAAATGTTTCTAAAATAGCATTTTCTACTTATAAACAACAATGACATTTTTATATTGAAGATATTTTAAGATGGTGAAAGTGCTCGTTGGTTTCAGTCTCTCCCATTCTAGATCCATTTTCTGAAACTCATCAGTCTGAATTTATACTAAATGAAAACACCAGTTCATATATTAACTCCTTATAAGCCCTTAACAAAACCTCTGTTCAAAAATGTTGAAATTTCTTTTTATTTTCTCCTGCTTTTTTGGACATAAACGTTCTCCACTTTTATCTGTAGGCTTCTGCTGAGACTACTGATCTTATAAAGCAAGAATAAAAAGCTCCAGATGTCACTGAATACTCCTTTATTACATAATACAGTATGTTTTTTTTATGTCAGTAAGTTATATTATTGAAAGTTGTGGCAGTTACACATGTCCGTGTGTTAATAATCCTTCTCTGTCTGCCACAGACAGCTCACAGTTTATGATCTAATGACATTAATAAGCGGCTTGCGTCCTGTAATGGAGTCTGCAGCTGCGGTGAACAGCTTTACAATATGGCTGTCTGAGATCAAATTGCGTAAATATCAACGTACTAATTCAGATTTGATTGTTTATCTGTACATGAACCAAAAGCTTGACACCAAGGGATAATGTTTATGTGTTAAACATTGAGAGTATAGAGAGATACATTTTATTCACCGTGTTATTTTGATATGATGTCGTAGTGGGTTTTGTGTTACACTTGTATGCCTTTTGCAAATATTTTATGTAGGATAAGAAAAGAGCAGAGACACAAACATGTTTTTTGTAAGACAACAAGCTTTCCCTTTGCATTGTATTGTATAGCATGTGTTTTGTTATATAATAAAAACAGAAAAAAAAAACAAAAAAACATTTTGCTTCAGTGTTTTTTTGGTCAAAAAGTGCACTTCTAATTTTAGTATGGCTAATATTGTGTTTACTCATTATGAGTCATGTAACATGTTAAGGGATTAATGTTGATGGAATGTGGTTTTGAAAAAAACATTTTCCACTGAGTCTGAGTTATTAAGTTCAAAATAAACACAAAAAGCATCAAGCACCTTCAGGAAAAAAAAAAAAAGTAAATAAGTATCACTTTCTGAGGTTTATTCCAGCTGTCCCGGAAAATGCACACTGAACTTTAAGTCTGGTCATGGTTCAGTTGCTGAAACTTAGAGGAAAAAACACATTATCCAGTTACTGACGCACACTACAGCAAAAGAGCAGAAAAATGTCGCTCTCCTCTTTCCAAAACAACAGCGCAAATTTCTTTTGAGTTTCCACTTACAAAGAAAGACTTTGTTGGTTTGGAGCACTTTAGTTTGTGATTTGTCATGTCCAAGCTGCTGTTGGTTCTGCTGCCTTGAAGCAAGAAGTTCCTGGGCTCAGCCCCAGCTTGTGCAGGTTTTCTCTGGGTACTCTGCCTTTTTCCCACAGTTCAAAAAATATGTTTGATAAGTCTCACTAGAGACTAATCAAATCTCATTAGATTGTACTTAATCTAATGAATATGAGTGTGTGTAGGGAATGAAAATATGTTTAATAAAGAGAAAACCATTCACTTACTCAAACCAACAAATGATTTCCATTTGTTGCATTTGTTTTCATGCAACAAATCATTTTCATTTGTTTCATGAAAATCCTGTCTCACACGAGTTCTTATTGAATCGCGCCTTTCTTTAAAGAAAATGTGGCAGAGAATGGATGTGGTGTGAAATCTCAGGAAAATTATTTTAAAAAGCATAAGCAATAAAAACTGAAATCCTTTTTTTATTGCTCGTCTTTAGCAACATATTTTCATTCTTTTCCAAAGCTTTTAGTCCCATTTCTGATACCCTTGAGACAGTGTATTTCATTTGAAAGCTGTGCTAAAGGTTTGCACTGGTGAAACCAAGGAAGCACGTGTTATTTGCGGAGCTGCTGGCGCAGTCCTGCCACTCTGTTTCAGGTCAGGCTGATAAGGAAGCTGTGCGGGGAATTTTGAAGGTTAAACTAAGCGAGTGACCTGCTAATGATACCCCTCCAGTTTCCTTTCTTTTGCAGACACAACCTTGATCTTGCAGCACTCCTAGTGTGCACAGGCCTCCCTCTCCTTTCTTGTTCTGAATTATTTTCCCTATGTGAGACCTTCTCATCTGACCCCGTCAATACCTTCCAGAGGCTTTTTACAGGTCAGCGATCCTCCACTTACTAACTCATCTTCAACAAATACACAATGCTTTGTAATAAGGTATGAAAGGCTTTGCTCTTGAAAGTGATCACCATGCAAGTGGATTTTAAAGAAACAGTGATAGGTCCTAATTAAACCCATCTGGTGTGTGCTTGGAATATACAAAGACTATCTGAAGTGTAATTAAAATGCTACGAAAGTAGAGACAGAGCTCCTCTACAGCGCTGATCTAAACAGTGTTTTCCCTTTTATCATTGAAGCTAAAAATCCTCTGTGTTGGAGCCAGAGACATATTAAGATATCACTTTCTAGAGGCGTGATGATGAGCAACGTTATTATCTCAGCGGCCCACACATAGATTCAGTGAACAAGTATGCGTATCTAGAATGTGTAAGTCTAAAGGCTCATTGGTTTATAGGTGCAAGAGACAGAGGATAAAAGTTTCAACTACAAAATGAGGATGTCCCTGTGAGAACCGTCGACTGTAACAAGTTACTTGAAAATATTACATGATAATATATGTTCATAAATGCATGAGAAACAAGGAGACGTTTGTATGCAATGTTATTTTTTTGTATGTTTGTTAGCGGAAATTGAAAAATAAGTCTAGAGCACACTTGGATCCCAGTAATGACAATGTTGTTGAAAATTAATTAAAAAGTGTAATTACACAAAAAGCTGATTTTCTGTTAACTTTGATTATTGGATCAGAAAAATAAATTTGTGACTTACATTACACCAATTAAAAGTGCATTTTACACAGAAATGTCAACCTACTGAAAAGCTTGTCCACATACTGCGCAACGTATAAAACTCAATACACGGATGGATTTCCTTTTGAATGAATTGCTGCATCATTACTGGCATGAAAATGTCATGTGTGGCGGTTGCGAGGTGGTGAAGAGATGATAAAGATGATAGATTTAATGAAGAAAACTCAACAGTCCAGAACAGGCAGTACAGCAGAGAGTTAGCACACAGCTAAAAACTGAAACACTGAACACAGAAAACCCTTAAAAATAAATACACAGAAACACTGATCATGACAGAAAATGATCGGCCCGTGACTCTGGTTTGTCATGACAATACTTCAAAGATTATTTAATAAATGATGTCAGGCCAGTTTGCTGGTCTATCAATATCTAATTTACTGTGGTTGTTAAATCAGATATTGGTACTATTGGCAGTGTGAAAAGGGGCTAACTCGTGTTAGAAAAGGAAATGATCACTTCTATAAAGTTTGTCAGCTGATGGAAACATGACATGCTCTAAACTTGATAAATCGCAGTGGACCAGCAGCAGCAGATAACATTGCTCCTCAAACAATCACTGACTGTGGAAAACTTCCCTCTGCACCTCAAACTTCCTAAACTCTGGGACTTAAAACAGGATGCTAAATTACTTTTACCTGAAAAGAAAACTTTAGAGCAGTGAGCAACATTTTCCCAAATTCCATTTCGGCCCAGGTAAGACATTTATGTTTCTGGCCTAGGAGCGGCTCAACACAGTGAATGGAGTGTATCCAGTGTCCTGGATACGTTTATGTGCTGCCAGCCGCTGTCAACAACTTCTGAATCTTTTTAAGTTACTTGCATGAGCTTTGCTTCAAAATACAAGTTATCTTGTACACCTAATTCTTATGCTTAGGTGCAACAATGTGTAGGAAAAAACATGGCGTCTTTTGTACTTAAAAAAATATTTTCATTGGTCTCACATAATATTCTAGGAAACAGTATTCTCAGGCTTCAGTAAACCATCAAAATTGACCAAAATGCTTGAAGTGGAACATGTAAGCTATGGTTGTTTTTTTTTTTTTTTTTTTTTTTTTTTTTTTTTTTCTGCTTCTTTTGGAATCATTTTTTGATTTACGATGAAAGTAATCTGACAAAAAAAACTTCATTTCTGTAAATGTGCCGATGCTGGATTTTTTAAATAGCCAATTCCTGGGAGACGGGGTTTCTCAGGGTGAAAAGTGAGGCTGCACTCCAGTTAAATGGCTTATATTTCCCCAGGAATGCATTTATGTTATGAACTGCTGTGTTTTGTCACAGTTTGCCAGCTCTAATTAGATTATTCTGCTTTAAGATGTTTCACATGCAGAAGTATCAAACCTATCACTGAGAACCTTTTCGTGACCAAACTCTAACGCGGTGCAGTTAAAATGCTGAACCAGCCTCAGAGGAGCAAGCTGAGGCTCTTTTATCACCTTGCCTTTAATTGTAGCTCTATGTTTTCCTGGAGCGTAGACAGCGTGCGAGCTCCTCGCCAAAACAAAGGAAACACGTTGAGTGAAGAATATCAGAATCTAAACTGCCTCAAGCGTCAAGTCTGGGAACTGAGAATACCAAAATGCTCAGCTCTCATTTTCCTTAAATCAGATTTTCTCTGATTTAACAGCAGTTACTTAATGTCCGACTATCTGCTTTGGTTTGATTTAATAAGCGGACGTAATGGAGCATAAATTCTGTTAATGGAGTTAGGTTCTTTTGCTTCTCATTTCACAGTAATGGCCTCTATCTTTCACTGAGACAAGATAACATGAATGAATAATGAAATAGAAACGAGGTGCAGCGGCACAGAGTAATTTATGGCACATGGATTCTTTCCCGTCTTCCCCAGGAGGTGCGCACTTTGAAATTTTACGCAGAGTTATCCGATGATCCTAAGGCAAACATCCCTGTGTGGTCAAAGAAACTACAATATTGTTTCTGGACTGTTTCCAAGCATGAATGTTGATTCCTAATATAGTTTGCGCTTGCTTTGCTCCATGTAGTAAAGGACTTGAAGAGGGTGACATAAAAGGCTTTAAATATTTAATGAAGCAGCTGTTTGTTGTCAGAGGGAGTTTTTAGTGGGCATATGAAGAAAACCTCATGGTCTGGGTTAGTTTAGCGATCCACTACTGTCAGCAGGAAAGGACAACCCCTGTGGCCAGATGTAGGTCAGATGTTTAGTCTAAAAGAAAAGGAGAAGAAGAAAAAAAGGTTTAGAGACAACTGAACTGGACTTTTGATGAAGCGATGAAGAAATTTACAACTACATGCCTCATTTAATGTACCCTGATTTAATTGTGATGAAGGCAGAGTCTTTAAGTGAGCTGGGAACTATCACCAGTTTGATGATATGTCTTTAAGACAAGTTTCCGCTTCATGCAACAGGACTACAACTCTCAAAAGAACTCTCTGAAAGACTGAGCTTTGGTCGCTTCATAAACAACACCAAAGGATTTATTTTTCCAAGGTTTAGGATATCTCATCCAGCTGCAACTAACAGCTAAACAATGAGTGATAGATAATTAAAGTTGAGTGTGTACGCAGCGAACCCAGTGGATGAGTCTGCTAAGACGATTACTTTTATTTGTTTGTTATGCGTGGCTATAGACAGGCATGATGATGTTGCCCTGGAATCACAGTCAAATAAACAAAAAAACTATCTGGAATTAAGCATCAATTCAGAACAAACAAAAAGAAGCACATAAGTTAGCAAATGAGTCTAGTAGTTTGCTATCATATCTCTTGGTTCTCTCTTAAAAATATGACATAACATATTTCATCTGGCTTTGTTGTGACCAATGGCTGTCAGTCACTGTGTATTAATTATACCATTATCCTGAGAAAACAATAAAGTTTAACTGATAATGTTTGAAAACCTTAAGAACAGAAAGTATGGCTGGATATGTCCTTCTTGCTGAATGATTTAAACACTCTGCTCCATTTTAGCCTCTTTTACCTTTAGAACTGTTTAACATGGCGTAGATTCAACAAGGTGTTGGAAATGTTTTGGTTCATATTTAAATGATGAAATTATAATTGATATAATTATGGCTCTGATTTGTTAGCTGCACATCCAAGATGCAAATTTCCTGCTCCATCACATCCCATTTGGATTGACATCGGGTCAACATGGAGGCCGCTGCAGTACTGCAAACACAAAGTTTGTGATGATTTCAGCTTTCTGGCATCCTCCAGAAAGTAAACAGCAGAAGCATTCAATTATTTAAGTTTGTACTAATAGGCCCAAAGTGCACCAGATATTCCCACACCATTACACTGCCACTCGACCTGAACTTTCCATGCCTTTATGAATCACGTTAATGTCAAATTCTAGCACTACCATCTGGGTCGAATCAAGTCTCATCACACCAGGCGACACTTTCAAGCTGGTACTGTTCATTTACTTAGCGTGTGTGAATAGCAGCCTCGTTTTCCTGTTTTCAGCTGACAGGAGGGACGATTAGAGCACCGCTGTAGCTCAATGTATCAAGGTTCAATGTGTTTAAAGTGTGAACTCTACTGATCTCTTAATGACATTAAGAAATATTTTTGTTTTTGTTTAAGTTTTATAAAACGGCTTGTCAAAAATGATTCATATCCTTCAAAATAATCACTGTAAAAGTCTCTATGGGCATCACAAACCCTTCTTATGACTGCACACTTGAATGTTTTCACTGGTATTTGTTTTTACTTATCAAGTCCTTGACATTGGAAGGCCTCCTTGACATCACCCTAATCTTTAGCTTTCTGCATAGATTTTCTATCAGATTAATGTCAGGACTCTGGATGCATCACTCCAGAACTATTGTTCAAATTCAGAAGAAACATGTTGATAAAATGTAGATATTACTTTCAAGTGTTGGACTATTTTTTTTTTTATTTCAGCACAAGTCATATTTCCTGATTCAAAAACTGCTTTGTTTGTACAGTTTTTGTCCTAAAATACACAAAAAAAGGAAACTAAAAACATCAGTATTTCTATGTGATTCAGTCAAGCACAAAGTGATTCCTAACATTTTGTAAAATTGTATTCACTTCACTTGTATATCATAAGACAGACTTTAAGGAAATAAAGAGTAAAAGCAATATCTTAAGGTCAAACAGCTAACATATGCAAATAACTTCAATTAATTACACCTCAAACTACTTTTCAGAGCAAATCCAGAATCACAGAATTCACATCACCGTCTCAGCATCCTCATTGCGTAATAATTTGGATTCATTGTGTACTTCTGCTAAAACTACTATTTTTAAATGGTCACCTGTTTTTTCAGCTGTGCTGCTTTAAAAAACTTAAACTGTGAACAAACTTAATGTTGTTCATTCATTATGTGTATCTGTTTATCAAAATTATAAAAGTACAACCACACATAATAAACAATATTATTACAAGAAACAAATAAATAAAAAGGGACTACAATAAATAAATGTCAACAAGTGGCTTGAATAATCAATTCATTTTACTCAATGATCAAAAAGTAAATACTAATGCTCTGCTTTTTTTTTTTTTTTTTTTTTCCACAAACCTTAGTCTGTCCGGTTCATTGTTGAGGGATGACATTGGGTTAGCTTCACCCTGGACACCTTACTAATCCATCAGCAGGGTAACACAAAGACAAACATCCATGCATCCACACACTCACAAAGTCAACTGAGAACCCCTAATTCACCCAACATGCATGTTTCTGGATTGTGGGAGGAAACCTAAGTAGCCCAAGTAAAACCAAGCAGGGGGGACATAGAAACCCTGCAGAAGCCTGCCAAACTGATATTTAATCCTTAGGCGTTGTTGCCATGAGGTTTCAGCAATAACCACACCACTGAGCTGCCTGCATTTTACCCCAATAAATGTATAAATATGCAGACTAAAAGAAACAAAGGACTCCAGTAGCTCAGTGGCTGCTGTAGCTCTACTTGGAGAGAATGCTTGACTAAACTTCTGAACATGATTTACAGATAAAGCCGTGTTTAGACACTGTCTTTAAAATAAGTTTCGCATGCACTCTGAATTATGGGAAGTCCTCTTCATCACTTACTGCTCCACGGTGGTTTTTCAACCATTTCTTTTGAAAACCTCTAATCGTTGCAAGATCCACAAATGTAATGGTTCAAGGACGGACACATTGCTGCTCAGGCCCCATATTGGTGGTTGATTTATTCCACAAGCCGTGCCCAAACTTTGATTCCAGTGTTTAGAAGTCACCTAATTCATTCACCATCCTGACAGTTTCAAGAGTTCAGCCCGATGCTCAGCCTCAGGTTCAGTCTCCACTCAGTCATTCAAACTGGACACGCGTGTCAGAACTAATATCAAATCTTCACAGACGTTCTGAGGAAAATAAGTCAATTGCAAAACAGCTTTTGGACACATACAAGTCCAAGCAAACCACTTGGCTGAGTTATTAAAGTTATATCATTCAGGTGTTTTATAAGGAATCAGACTGATTATGAAGCGATATCTAAAATATTAAGTTACTATCAACCCATGTCTAATTAACACATCTTTTTTTTTCTATCAGTATATCATTTGTAGAAAGTGGCATTATGGTTAGAAATTTACTTCAAGAACACAATTTGGTCATGTTTACTATAGTTTCCTGTTAAAACCTCCCATTTTTCCTATATGGATAATAAACGACTTCCCAACAGCCCTTTGAGACCAAGTCCAGATAATGAGCTTATTTTGATTCCTGGGAATGAATAAAGGTGCTGACCTACCTTTATCACAGCTGTCACTGTGTGTTAACAGACACGCTCATGTTTGAAAGCAGGATTTATGTGAAGTGACAAAAAAACACAGCAAGCCTTTTGCTGCAGGAGATGTTTTGTCTGTGGTGATGTTTGAGCAGCCAAATGTCCTTCTTTGGTTCCTGTCTGGGGTCAGACTGTGGCATTCTGCTACATAAACACGCCTTGTTTTTTCAGACTAGACCGTGCTTCACAGTGAAGTCAACATGACATTACAGCCCCTGAGCAATTTTAATAAGGCTCATAAACATGCAGCTGCCTCCTTGTTCTTAATAAGTCATGGCACAGCCAGTGGATAGTTTGTGAAACATTGAATTTGTAAGACATAAACTGTCCTCTGATGTAAGATTGTGCCATTTTATGTAGGAAAATAAGCTCACATAGCTACTTTGCGGTGGTCCTTTATAATGACAGACTACATCTTTTTGCTACAGCTGTGATGTTTTTTGATTGTCGAGGCTGAAATAATACTTGCCTTCATAAAATACCCATGGGAAAAACAGTTGCAGTAGAGGCTCAATTTCTGTACGTTCACAAATTAAAACACAGTACTACCTTTGTGTTGTGATTGTGTCCCATATAACTCACTCAGAGTGATAACTCATATCCATGTTTTTTTTTTTTTTCTCTTTTTGACAAAGATAAATCGTTTTCCTCAGCAGGAGTATCTAAAGGGTGGGCTTATATTGGAAATCAGCCTTCAATAATAAACTGAATTCAAATCAATAATAAATTCTATTCATAAAATAAACTCAAAATCTATTGAAGTTTGAAAAATTGAATTGCTCTCACACTGATTTCCAAGTTTTGAAAAGCTGGAGTCCGTCTGGCCAACCACAAGCCAGACGGACTCAACATGGATGCACATTTAAAACTTATTAAAAGTTGAAAAATACATGTCTGTTTGTATGACAATTTATATTTCTTTAAGCTATACAAAGGGTGTTTTTTTTACCCCTTATTTAGCACAAAATATACCTCGTTATCAAAAGGGATTTTTTTTGTTGGTGTGTAAAACAGAATTGTGGAGTTTTTTTTTTTGTTTTTTTATTTGGTTGTATTGCTAATGATAAATAGCAAAGTATCAAGGCACAAAAAGAAACAAATTGGAATTAGTTTTTTATTTGTACCTTGAAAATGCACTCAATAATTGTTCTGGTGTTCTGGTCACCTACTTGTAGCAATTCAAGCTGATGATGATATTTCATAGATTTTGTTCTGGCTCTAAACACCTAAACATGTTTTGCTCCCAGAGTATCTTCCTCAAACAAAATAATTTTATATTTCTGAGTATAGGAAGCCGT